TGAGTCTTGGTTTCCTTCCCATCACTGCTGGTTCCTTGTACATTTCCCTTTATTTCACTTAGCATAACCTTCATTTTTTCATCTAATTTGTGACCAAATTCAAGCAATTCTGTGAGCATCCTGATTACCAGTGTTTTGAAATGTGCATCTGATATGCTGGCTATCTCTTCTTTGCTTAGTTATATTTTTTCAGGAGCTTTGATCTGTTCTTTCATTTGAGCCATTTTTTGTCTTGATGCATCTGTTACGTAGTAAGGACTGGAGCCTTAGGAGTTCACCCTGGCGGGGCAACCCACATCACTGTGTTGTGACTCGATATGTGGGGCAGGGGTCCGAGAGGAAACAATGGCACTTGCTCCACTCTCTGCCAGATTTTAGTCACTTTCCCCACTTCCCCCAAGCACATTGGGCCCTTCTGGTGCTGATTCCCATGTGGGTGAGTTTGTGTACATTCTAGGACCCTGTGGGTCTCTCCAGTGAACTCTCCTGTGAGGCTGGGAGTTCCTCCTAGAACCTCAACCCCCACAGGTGTTTTCAATTGGTGTTTTGAGGCTTTATTTCCCCATGCTGCGACCCTGGGTTGTGTGGTCTGTCTTGCTCCCCAGTGTTGCCTGGTTTATCTGCACGTGAATGTGGGACCGCCCAATCTGCCAGTCGCCTTGTGAGCCATGCTGCTCCACAATCCATTACCCCACTGGGTCTGCCCACTGCCACCCCTCATGCCTGGGGTCCACCAGCCACCACTCTTTTTGCCGCAACCCCTCTCTGCCCAGCCACCTGACTTTGCCCCTCCTACTGGTCTGGATAAGTGTGTCTACTTTAACTTCTTGGTTGTCAGACTTCCATACAGTTCAATTTTTTGTCAGTACTGGTTGTTTTTTGTTTCTAAACTATTGCTGTCCATATTTTGGTTGTGCGAGGAGGCACAGTGTATCTACCTATGCCTCCATCTTGGCTGGAAGTCTACATGTGAGTTTTTATACAAAAATCTGACTTTACAGAGGGGTTACAGAGGAAAGGGAGAACCACACACTGTTTACAAATCATTAACCCTGACCACTCCTCCTTCTTGAACCCATAGCAGACATAGGGAACTGTTTACTGCCCTCTCGCCCCTGAGCCTGGATAGGACCTTTGTTCTGAGCCTGTAACATTTACAGAAATGGCACTTGAAAGACATCCTTTTCTTTTTCAGAGATCACCTTCCACCTTCCCAACCCCCTGTTCACAAAGAAAGAAATAAAACCTGAAGCAGACTGATCAATTCGGGGACCGCCTGGATGATTTGACACATAGGCCTCATATAATTAACATTTCTACTCTAGTCATTCCTAATCTGCCCACTTCTAACTATAAATAATACTCATTAGAGGAGCTTTGGTTTCTTGAAGTGATTCTTCTAGTCTCATGCACTGAGTCAAGGCTTTTGCCCCATACTCTCCATACACATATACATTCCAAAGGATACAAGGTTGTCCAAACTCTCTCCTTTGTGTGTCTTTCTCCTTTGTGACATTTCCAAACCATCGGTTTGGGTGCTGACTGTGGTATCCCTCCTTATTTGCTGGGTCATTTCACCAGCCTTATATAAAACTCCATTTTGGGTCATTTGTCCTAAGACAGACATTTGATTCACTCTCTTGGATGGACTGTGCTTTTGCCCCACCTGTTAAAATCAGGGTTGGTTTATATTACCTAGTGATTGAACTAATCCACTAATTCTCTACCTATATAACCCTACTCTGGATGAATGGGAATGAATTGAGGAGAAGGAACTTGACAGACCAGTAACGTTCTTGGCAATCTAGATTACCACAGTAGGTGAACTTAACCCTTCCAAAGGTTTAAATTTTGGGGTTAAATCACTGACAAATGGAGAAAAGAAGAAATAGTGGCTGGGGGCAAAAATTAACAAATGGTATATGCAAAGAAGGAAATCCAACATTGCATTAGTTCCTTGAAAGATAATCAGAAAAAAAGAATGATACTGTCTCTTAGCACAATTACACCAGCTGTCCAAAAGAGTGAAGCTATTTGTTTGTTGAAACCACATCTGCTTTTGTAAACTTTTAAAGTTAAGTATAATTTTTAAAACCTAAGTAGCATTATTCTGAAAAGACATTTATTCATACAACACAATGATGAACTGCACCAATTGTTAATGAGTAAATGGAACTCTAGAAATACGTCAGAATATTTGACTATGTCTTTTTCAGGATACATCTACTACAAAAGATATTGTTTCAGATGGAATTTCTGGGAACTACTGTCTGCAGGGCTGTCTAAAAATGTGGTATACAACTCCCCGCAGAATGATCATTGTGGGACTATAAACCTGGATGGTCTAAGGCTTAGAAAAGTCCCTGGTTATAATGGACAAAATACAGTAGTAAAAATATCACCTCCTTTTCATGAATGGAAAGCTATTAAGCAGAACAGAAAAAGACCTTGGGTTTTTAATGGGATTTAAAGAAGTAGACATATTATGGTGGATTCAAACTAACCTAGAGAATTACCCCACCTTGAAATGGAAGAGGCTACGGAAGTCTGTATGGTATACTCAGACTAAATTACAAGTAGGTGTGATTACCACTCATCTAATCCTAGTATAAAGACCCCAACATTTGGGGGTACAAAACATGTATCCTAACTTCACTCAGGTTGTTAATACCCAATGGCAATAATAATGGACAATGTTTGCCCACAAGACAGAGACAGGCTTTAAGTTAGTGGTCTTCAACCTTTTAGGCACCAGGGACCAGTTCTATTTCAGACAATTTTTCAACAGACCAGAATGCGGAGGATGGCTTTGGGATGATTCAAGAATATTATATTCAATCTCACCTCCTGCTTTGCGACCCCATTCCTAACAGATGCAGACTGGTACTGGTCCATGGCATGGAGTTTGGGGAACTTTGCTTTAGGGGACATAGGTGTTGATATAGGCATTGTGAGATACAATCTGAATCCCCTCCTTTTTTTTCAATTGCCCATTAACTGAGCACCTACCAGACAGTTGGGGAGATAAAGTACAACTCGGGTTTTGGAAACTGGTGGAACCAGCTCACAGCAGTAGCTGTGCCTGAGGGCTCAGGTTCCTGGAAGTTAACACAGGGGTAAAGTAGTGGATGGGGAGGAATAATCCACATATTTGAGTTTTAAGGATGTTTTAATTTCCCAAGGGTAATGCTTAGTAAGAGATTGTGTGTAAAAGTCAACTCTTCGTTAACAACTTCTGTTTCTCTTAACATGATCAGAAGATATGGCTGGTGTAGGGAAAAAAAAAAAGAGAATCCATGAGAGGCAAAGACTTCAGGACTCTGCACCATGTTGAAAAGATCCAGTGAATCCTGGCTCTTATTCGCCAGTGACATAGTGACATCTATATACTATCCGTGGTCTCCATGACAACTTAAGGCTCTCACCAGACTGAAAACAATTCATTTCCAAAGCAGGCACTTAAGCCTCTCCTTTCCTCTCCCAGGCCTGGATATGTAAGAACTGGAATATCACATGATTCACTTATTGTCACTTACTGAATAGTCACTTAAGTGAAGGTAGGTGATTCACTTACTGTTCTTCAGGGTATCCCAGAAGAACCAGTAGTGCCTATTATTCATCTCCACAACCACTTAGAAAATTAAAATGCTCAAAGGAATTAATCCGAGCTAAAGATTAGGGTTCTGTCCAGGAAACATACTGTTTCTGGTTTCAGAGCCCAGAACTTCCTCCTGATTTACTCATCACCACCCAGGAATCCTGTAGTCCATAGCAAACTAAGGATCACCTGGGCTTGGCCCCACAAAGGATGGACAGTGGGGCCAAGCCCGAGTGACATTTTTTGTCAAAGAGTAAGTGCCCAAAAATGTTAAGCCAGAGATTTTTCATTACAAAAGCTAGAATAAAGATAGAGTGGCCCCCCAAACAATTGCACTTCCTTAAGGCAAGGCTCATATTCTGTATAAAAAGCTAGCTTGCCAGAGACTCTGCACAAGACCTGACGGCCAGACAGCTCGAACTTCTCTCTGCACCAGGTGAGTCTCTGTACTTGTGATTTCTTAATATTTGTCTCATTCTATTTTACTTGCTGGAGTCTCTTTGTCATGCTAAAAATATATTTACATTAAATGCAATGGTAATTTGTGGTTAAGGTGACATTATGGATCTTTTTGACTTCCCTCTCAGATTGTAACTATGGAGAATGGTTTCTGTAATGATGATTTGCTCAGCTACAGCATAGGGACTACAAAGTCCAGAGTACATTTAGCGACTTTCATTACTTTCTCTAGTCATTACTCAGAATTTGAAATATTGAGGCACTGCACTGGCAATTTGTGTGTTCAAAACATAGGTTTTTCTTTGCTTCGTGATACCGTCCATCAGAGATCTTTAAGTGTGGGAGTAATTTGCAAGCATAATTCATGGAAAATGATTAAGAGAGAGGACAAGGCAGGTACTGTGCTGTGGCAAAGGGGAAGGTGACTTGAATCTGGCAGAGAGTGTCTGGGAGGAGAGCCATGATGGGTCAGCCTGGATGGAAGCAGCAAAAGGATGGAAAGCCTTCCAGAAAGCATGCACACAGAGGATGATGTGAACAGAGCATCAGAGGTGGACTCATGTGGGCTCAGGGCAAGCTCCCAAGCAGCTTTCCTATGACAGCTATGTGGTGGACTGGAGAGGACAGACTTGAGACTTCGGACTTTATCATCTTTCCAAGTTATTAAAAACCTTGAGATTCAATGAATCCTGGGATGGGCATTGTGTTGTGTTGCTGATGTAGGTTTTCAGAACCTCCAAAAAGAAAAGAAGGATAGATCAGCACTCCACTCTATGTGGAGCAGAATAAAGCACCCTTAAGTTTCTTTTCTTGAATGTGCACAGGAATCAAAGAAGTTTCCATTAACCTCAAATTCAGGGAAACAGAGAGGAAAAGAAGACAGTTGGTCACATCTGTAGGGACATGAAATGAGATATATTTATCGTTAAGTTTGTCTTATCCCTTGTTTCACCAAGGAAACAAGACAGTAAACTTTTCTGTCTCTAGGTCCAGCCTCCTTTGAAGCATGAGTTCCTACCAGCAGAAGCAACACAACATCCCACCTCCCCAGCTTCAGCAGCAGCAGGTGAAACAGCCCCAACAGCCTCCACCTCAAGAATCATTTGTTCCCATTACCAAAGATCCATGCGAAACCAAGGATCCACAGCCTGGCCACACCAAAGTTCCTCAGCCTGGCCAAATCAAGGATCCACAGCCTGGCCACACCAAAGTTCCTCAGCCTGGCCACACCAAGGATCCACAACCTGGCTACACCAAGGATCCACAACCTGGCCACACAACGCTTCCAGAGCCAGTTCACCCTCAGGTCCCTCAGCCTGACCAGCCTGAGATCCCTGCGCCATTTATTCCAATGGTTATTCCAGGCCCATCCCAGCAGAAGACCAAGCAGAAGTAATGTGATAACAGCCATGCCTTGAAGAGCCACCAAATGCTGAACACCTTCTTCCCTTCTGCTTCTGTGTCTTAATTATCTTGTAATCAGGATGTTCTCACAATCAGTTAGAATCTCTCTCTTATCTGCATCCTAAAAATATATTCTATGAGGCTTTTCTCGAACACTCTGAAGGCTCTCTGAGCCTTTGAATTATGCTGAGGGCTTAAGTGGCTTTGCTGGTCCTAAGTTGCTCAGGTCTCATCTGAAGAGTTGATCTGATCGAGAAGAATTTCTGTTCCTGCTCTGCCACCATTAAATGAATTTAACACCACTTTTGACTACTTGTGTCATTTGCTAAATCTGTCCCTTCCTGCTCCATCATGAGTAGGGCCTGTAATCAGAAAGCAGTTGGTGTAGACATCATCAATCTGTCCTGGTACTGCGTGCTTCCATGAATGTGTGAGTGTGTGATTGCATGCAAGGGCATCCTGAAAATGGCCATGGCTATAGTGTAATGGAACCCAGAGCCTGTCACTCTGGGCAGCCACACCTGGAGCAGGGTGCTCCTCTGACACTGAGCTGAGTCATGCCTCAGTTCCATGGTGCCTGCTCCAAGCTGCCTCTGATCCTAAGGCCTGTCCCCAAGGCTCCTGCTTATTCCCATTAAAACATCACTGCTACACACTTGAACCTAATTATTCTGGTTTTCTTCACTCATTTCACCTTCCAGAAAATGAATACATACAGACACGCACTCACAAAAGCACATTCATTTAAGTAGACACACATTCTCCTAATTATCCACATGAGCTTTGCTCTCAATAGCTCAGACAATGTTGTTTTTGCCTCCACCTATCATGTACAAGGAGGTCAGAAACTATCTCTACCAGGAAGAGGATGAGGAGGATACACAGTGCCTTTCCTTGGAGAATCAGTAGTCTTCTCTGGGAGATACAGTATTCACATCCTCACACAAACGTGTACACATACAGCCACATACAAACACTCCAAATAATGTCTCTCCCAAAATCAAATGCAGAAGTCTGCTTATCCAGTGATTAGAAAAATGAGGTGAGTTTGAAGAAGAGATTATAAGGAGGAGTGTGTGATCCAAGTGAGGTGGGTAACCAGCCAGTAACTGGCAGTGAGCCAGTTGTTGAGCTATAAAATGTCAGGGGTGCTATGAGAGTGAAATAGCACCTAGCATAGTCCCTGTATTTCCAGATAAAAAACTGATATTCAGAAAGGAGAAGGACATGAATTGAGATCAATCAGAAATTGTTTTCAAATGACACCCAGAGCCCAGGTCTCCAGATTTCTAGATCATCATTTTCTTCTGAAGCCTGCTTTTGTTTTCAAGGATGACCAGCTGGTTTGCAGGTTTTTTGTTGAATGGGTCTTGGATTTTAGGGAGCTTGTTCCCAAATCAGTGAAGCAAACAGAAGATATCAGAGTAACTGTAGTGGTCCCTGGGAGTGAACCCCCTTTTCTGAAAAGATTCGTGATCCATAATGCCACATAGGGTAGGCAGGTGTCAGGTGGTATACGAGTGACACAAACGCACTCCAAATGGCCTTGGCAAGAGCTCAAAAACATTTGGAAACTCTAAGACAGAAACTGTCCAACAGGTCATTACAAAGTGATGAGTAGTTGAATTATGTGTCCAGGGTCTGTACGGTATGCACATTTGAAGTGACTTCATATTTCTGCTCGTTTCCATTGTAAAAGTGTCTGAAGATATATCCAGGCTATTTGCAATTAAAGAGGCTGACTCTTAATGAGGAAATGGGCTCTATAATACACAGACTTTATGAATATAGTTTAAGCATCTTAAAGAAGACTTTGGCAGGAATAAATTAAAAGGTGTAAAGTTCTGCCTTACTTGAACTATCATTTTATTCTGGAAATTTATTTTTATGAAATATTCATGCATGTATACAAATATTTTATACACAAGGATAAATTTCAGTATTCTATCCAATATCAAAAAGTTGATAACATTTAAGTGCATATCAATAGATAATGGGTTCAATAACTGATGAGACATCTATATGTTAGAATTATACTGCAACCATTAACAAGATTGTTGTAGGAAAACGATGTCTTATTAGGAAATGTTAAGATTATATTATTACAAAAGCAGGAACTAGCCCTGGCTAAGTGGCTCAGTTGGTTGAACATCATCCCATTCAAGAAAAGATCACAGGTTCGATCCCCAGTCATGGCATATCCCTAGGTTGCAGGTTCAATAAGCATATCCTTGGAAAAGGAAAAAAAGGAGCAGACACTAAACAATATAAGCAAAAGACATCTTTTTATAAAAGATTTTATTTATTTCTTTTTTAGAGAGGGAAGGGAGGGAGAAAGAGAGAGAGAGAGAAACATCAATGTGCAGTTGCTGGGGATCATGGCCTGCAACCCAGACATGTACCCTAACTGAGAATCGAACTTGCAACATTTTGGTTCGCAGCCCGCACTCAATCCACTGAGCTATGCCAGCCAGGAAAAGACATCTTTTTAATAATGTTTGCATGTGTATGGGTTTATAGAAAAAAATATCCTGACATGAAATGAAGCAAACTGTAACTATGGCTTGTTCTGGATGCATATACATTAGTGTTCATTATTTATATAGCTTTGTCTTCCATTTACACATTATATAAATGTTATTTGATTTCTGTATAACCTTTATTCATTATACTAGAAAAGACAGAAATCAGTGAAACTGAACCTTTATTCATTATATTAGAAAAGACAGAAATCAGTGACTAGTGAAACATAAGTTCTGGCCATACAAAATTCCTGAGGCTCTGTAGCAGGTCCCATAGCAGCAGCCCAAGAGTGGGTAATTCCACACCCTGGTGGGGCAGCCCATGTGTCTCTTTTCTCCATACAGCTCCATCCCAATTCTCAATCTTCTGGTAGGGACACTGGGTGCTCCAAGTACTCCACTCACACTCACAGGTCAAGGGCCTCAGATCCTGTCCACTGTCTGACAACTGAAACCATCTAAGAGGTAAATGACAAGTTATCTTCTTCTTGTCTCAGCTCCTGTCTTGCTTCAGTCCCTTTCCTCCTTTGTGACTTGGCAAAATTTTCCCCTATTGGGATAACTATTTTGAGAGTTGGTACTACTTCTAGCTGAAGAACTTTAAGTCCAAACTCCGAACAGTTTGGTAAACTTCAGGTCCACAGCCTAGTTGTTCATGTCAACTTGTGCCAACAAGTTAGTATCTCTTTATGGTTCTTTTTTCTTGCCTCTGTCTTCCTAAGTCCTACCAGAACTATGACTTCTATAACTCCTTAAAAAAAAACCTTTCTGGTTGACATAGAAATTGATTCAAGGACTTTCTTGTACTTCTATATTTCTGACTTAGAAAATTGTCATTATTGGATGTTGAGGTCAACCATTTTATTCAGCTATTCTTTGCCAATCTTCAACTTAATTTTCTCCCCTCTCTTCTGTCTGTTTTCTATAATGCTCTATATTCTACACTCCTCCCCACTCCTGCCACCCATGTTTCCCTGGAACTCAGTGGCCTGTCTGGACTTTGGATCTTATTAGGCCACCAGGCCCTTGACACATTTGCAGATACAGTTGTCAGGTGGGCTGCTGCTTTCACCAGCTGCCCTTCATGTCCCGCACCATGACATTGGTGATCACTGGATCATATTTGACTTCACACTGTAAGCAGCATGAAGGCAGAAGCCCTCTTGTTCAGGGCTGTACATTCAGAGTCCAGCCCACCAGCTATCAAATAGTAGGAGTTTATCTAATGTCTCCTGAGATGCTAAGCACTTATACCTTCACCAATTCATACTGTGGGTTTGAAGGGAACATTCTGAACCTCACTCTGAATCCACATCACTCCTGAGGCCTTGAGCTTCATCCTTACCACTCCACTCTGCTCTCTCCACATCTAAAGCAGCAGTACTCAGAACTGCAAACAAGCTTCTCTGTCCTGTCTGTACATGCAATACCCAGAGAGGTCTGCATCTTCCAGAAGACAGAAAGCTCACTGAGGCCCCCAAGTTGGACATTGTCCACTCTCCCATCTATGAGGTGGTGATCATAAGGGCAGGTGGGAGACCCCAACCTCCATTAATCTTCTGAGAGGGAAGTATAAGCATAATATATAATTATGTGTATCTATAAAATATTATCAATACTATATGAATACTGTTCTATATAAATTATTTAATATATTTCTATTTCTTCCATACTAGCATAAGAAATTTTATTTGGTTCTAACTAACATTATTTAAGAAATACAAAATTATCTTTAAAAAATATTAAACCTAAAATTTCTATCACCTTTTTGGCTCACTTATTTAGGCCCTTGTACCAATTGTAAGTAGTCATTGCCCTAGGAGAAAGATAAAAGTAATAAAAATAATATATAATAATGTTTTATATATTACTTACAGTAAGATAAATGATCCACTAAAAAGCCCAAGACTTCAGTAGCTTAGGGCAACAGAAGTTTAATTTATGCGTCTATCATATTTTGAATTTGGATTGTTAAGGGGGCTCTCTTCTACCCATTCACACAGGGACTCTGTCTCTGCCATGTGTAGTTCTATCATCTCCCAGAATCTCTCTAGATATACCACAGTGTTATGAGAACCAGGAATTTGGGGTATAGATAAGAAAATTTTGTTCCTAATTAATAAGGCCAGAGGTGATCTTCATCACTTCTGCCATATTCTCCTAGGCAAGTACAGATTACACAATCCTATCTAGTTAATAACACTGCAATGTATACTTGAAATTTGCTGAGAGTAGATCATAATTGTTCTCAGCGCGCACACACACACACACACAAATTAACTATGCAAGGTGATGAATGTGTTTGTGAGAATTATTTCACAATGTGTATGTATATGAAAGCATCATAGTATACACAGTAAATATGTACAATTTATATTCATCAATTATAACTTAATAAACTGGAGGAAATTAAATAAATAAAATAAATAATGCTGCCATTAAAAAACAAAAATAGAAATAAATGTACTGAGCTTTGAAATCTATGACATGCTTGTACACAGGAAAGCAAGAACACAGATATCACTGATCCCTTAAATCCTGCCATAGCATATTCCTTTGATCATCAAGTATATATTTCCTATAAACTTGCTTCCTTTTTTCTCATACATAATGAAAAAAATCAGCACTAGGGACTAAATTCTTTTTATCATCATCCTTCTCAATGTCTGGAAACTCTAAGTGATGTTTAGTCTCACCTACAAGGTAAAGCAGTGGAAAGGGAGGAACCATTCACATATCTGAGTTTTAAGGATATTTGAATTTCCCAAGGGCAATGCCTA